GGATTTATTCATTCGGCTGAGAGAAGGAGCAGTGACGCTTTATTGACATATTTTATTGTACAAAATAAACAGTTTACAATTGAGTGGACAAGCTTTGTAACACATATGCAGTAAAATAAAAAAACTAATTCAACCCTGTAAAATAAGTGTAATTTAATAATGTTTGCAGTATCATTCAACACACAGTACACAGTAACACTGAGGGCAAAGGTCAAAACAAACACTCATGCTCTCTTTCATAAAGTGCATTTTAATACGACTTCTGTATTCTGGCAAATAAACATGTGACGTCTCAACCTGTAAAACCTGCAGAGGCTTCATATATGAAACTGTATCATCGACCACCACTGTCACAGATCTGCTTCACCACAATGTCAAATTCTAAAGTAGAGTTTGATCAACATGAGTGAGACATGTTTTTAAAGAAATAGTTTGACATTTTTTTGGGGGAAAATACTCTTTCAATTTATTATAAAGAAGAAAGAAACAACTGTCAGTCACTGCAGCTTCTTTAACTTGACTTTAAATCACTTCAGGTCCTTGAATCAGGCGGACACATTTCCAGTTCATGAAACAGGACGGTCTCTCATTTCGTGATAAAAGTCTTTTAATTGTTCCTGAAAACATAATGAGAGATTTCATAGATCTTTTCCTGCCCAATCTCGTACCCTGTTAACTTCTTATAGACTTCAGCATCACAGTCAAATATCCAACTGACAACTGACACTCTTTTAGTCTTCATGTCTTCATTAACTCCTGGTCAACCAGTTCATTCCTCAGACTGGAAGCCTCCTTGGTGTGATGACATGTAGCATCGACCTCTGGAGATATTCAGAACTGTGACTGTGGGACAGAGAGACGCTCTGTTCTGCACAACCTCCTCATTTCATGTTCTCCTCTGGGGCTTGTGGGCAGCACAAGCATCTTTGCTGGCCTCTGCATTTTAGTTTTCGTCAAAAGGTGCGACACCATTAGAGAGAGAGGTTTCACTGCAGTGGATACGATCTTCTGCCAACAGAAAATCACAAAAGCAGGATGACCCCTGGTTCCCAAACAGAAGGATTCTCCAGATGCGGGAAAAGGTAAACAGGGGATTGTCCTCGTGAAAACAACCTGCAGAGATATGTTGAAGTCGAGATGCTCCAAAGTCAGAAAGATCTGTACCATGTAGCTGCCATGGGAACTTCTCATCAGATGGAGGAAAAGCTTTGGAACAGTGGATTAGTGGCGTTCACAGATACTTTGATGCCTTTACTTCGTGCCATCGTTGGCCAGAGAAAGTCAGCGGGGTTTCACTGTTTTGCTGATTCTCAGTTTTTCACAATTATTTCTGTCACCTTTCACTTGTAGAAACACTATGAACGTCTGTTTGGAGCAACTGGCTCCATCAATGACGGTCTGCATTTCGTACCGCCATCGACTGTGGTGATTCAGAAACCCCTTTGAATGAACTGGTTCTTTTTTGAGGATCACATTTACGACCCTCCTGGATCTGGGGCCGGTTACTTAAAACAACTTATCCGGCAAAACTTTCAAACCATGTCTGTGACTCGTGTGGGCTGTACCATTATGGTTGTGATTCTCACTGTCTGTTTAAGTCATGTTTGTACTCTTGTGGATCCAAGAAGTGTTGTTATATGCAGTCGGAGTGGACTATCAAGGTAGTAGACTTGGGGGGTACACCATCTTAATCCTGGAGCCAAGGGGTGCTCACATACTCAGGAAGGTATATATTCAAAGGGTGTTATTGGGTTGTTCCATCATGAAGGCTGAGGGGTGCTGTTAGAAGTCGTAGGGTCGAACCATCATGGAGGTGGAGTGCAGAGAGTAGCTGGGGCCTCTGAAGTGGTGCCACTTGATACCGTTAAGCTTCCTGATGTTGTGGCCGATGGTGTAGTAGATACCGTTCAAGTTGGAGAAACCACAGGCGTCGAACCACCAACCTGATGGAGAGAGAGACAGACACAGAGAGAGACGTGGGTGAAAGAAAGCAAGACGGACACGACGTATTAAAAATGTGCCGTGGAAAGATCAGTGTTTTTGTTTTCACTGATCCCACTGGACGGGAGGATGAACTTTACCTCCTGTGAGCATCAGGGCACATTTGCAGTGGTCACAGTTGTCGTTGTCCTGGTCTCGGGTGCTGAAGCTGGTCCCATGGGTGGTCAAGCTGCTCTGCCTCCCTGTTGTGCCGCTGTAGCCTCTCAGATACAACCTGAGAGTAAAGAGGCAGGAGCAGTGTGGAGAGAATTGTACTTTATTACATAAGATAAATATATAGATAGATAGATAGATGATTGTCAATTGCTAGTTCGATATATAATTGATTGTTGCTCGTTACCGTCATCACCACAAATGAGATAAGCAGCATTTTAACATTTCAACTGAAGGTGGTGGAGCTAATTTTACTTGTGAAAACAGGAGTACTCCACCAGCGGTGTACACATGTGTGTATCAGTGTGTATCAGCGCTGTGTGTGTGTGTGTGTGGTGTAAAATGTAACTGTCACCTGTACTGCTGCCTCTCACTGGTCAGTGTAAAGCGGTCGTACTGGGAGTGGGCGGGGTTTCCCTCCCAGTCTTTCAGGTCCACCCTCAGAGAGTACTGACCCTGACTGGTCAGCAGGTACAAAACTTCATTACCCAACCAGTGCTCTCCCGACACGTCCCCGAAACCCTGCAGAGCGGGACGATGGGGAGGAGGGTGAGGTATTATCCATGAACCGATCTTATTCTTTTGCATTGTGAGACAAACCCACCATCTTGTAATCCGTCCAGCTCCTCTGGAAGTCCACGCTGCCGTTAAACCGTCGCTGGAAGACCGTCCAACCTCCGCCGCTCGTCTCCATGTCACAGTACACCTTCAGGAGAAGATGGGAAAGTATTAAAAGTTCAAATTTTAAAGACTATGGCAGTGTCCATTTGGAATGGGCTGTTTGCTTTGCCTGGACGCAGCTTTTCTTTCTGTGAGTGTAGAAGTGACCTGCAGCAAATCAAGAGCTGCTGCTGCACAAAGATCTGTTCACCTGTTTATTTGAAATTCAGTACGCTTGATATAGAGTCAGAGTTGAAGGACACGTGTTCTGGTTCATTCATTGGTTCTCATTCTACCAGAACACTCGCTCACACTGATCGTCATAACTGAATTTAGAGCATAAAGAGAACAGACATTACCTGCACAGGTTGAGTCCTGTTGCCGATGAAGATGTGATACACTCCGCTGACAGAGTGACCGGCCTTGTAGGCATCTGCACAGTTCCTCCACATCTGGTTCCCAGGAGGTGACGCTACACACAGACACACACACACACACACACACACACACACACACACAAATACAGTAAAGACTCATGGGTGTGTGTGTGTCTTTGTGAGGACTATTTTGAGTATAAACCTTCAAGAGTGGAAAGACTTGGTTTTAAGTTTTGATATTTTAGGGTAAGGGGTGAAGAACGGAGAAGGAGTTTGTCGGAGCCTGACACGTTCACCACAGCAGGAAAAACTCTGGAGCGTTCAGGTGAGGGGTGGAGCAGCACACAGGAGGCAGGACTTTCCATTTATAAACTCTCAAATCTCCTTCTTTGACAATTCTGTTGGTGTGGTCTACGTGTATGGCTCCTCTTTTTCACCCTATTAGATATTTATATTCTTTTTATTCTTCTTTAGTTTTGCATCCTTATGTATTCTGACCTGGGTTCACTCAGACATTATCTGGAGTTTTCACTCGGGGGCTGGAAGGAGAAACCCCAGAGAATGTTGGCAGCAACTGACTCAAACATTTGAGTTCTCACAGACAGCCCCTCTGGATAATTTCAGAAGATTATCTGGACCTCAGTGCAGGTCTGAATGCAGCTTAAGATAGAAGTACAAGAATGTGTGTATATGTGTGTATGTGTATGTGTTTGTGTGTGTGTGTGTGTGTGTGTACCTGTAGTACTGGCCACCAAGTTAATGAGTGTGTGGACAGACTCCATCAGCTGAGACTGCTGCCTCTGCAGAGCCGTGTTGTTGCTGCTGGCGACTCTCAGCTGCCTCTCCAAAGATTCAATCGCCGCCATCTGAGTCCTGACAACAGACTGAGAGAAAAAGATTTTCTTTTGTCTTCTTCTTTGTTCGGTTATTTACTGGATGGCAATAGATGTCAAGGTGCATCACCGCCATCGACTGTGTTGGTCGATGTATACCAGTACCAATACCAGGTCGATGTGGAGAGGAGGGAGCCAGCCCCTCAATCGATTTTCTTTTGTTTAACAGCTCTGAATTTATTGTCTCCAACAAAAATCCTAATCTGGATTTGACCTTTGCCAGGGAGGTTATTTTTTTCCTCGTCTTTCCCTCAGTTTCTTGTTGGTTTGTTCGTCAGCAGTAAAACTAGATATGCCTGATTTTTTTCCCACCAAGTTCGTTGGACGTTACTCTGAGAAATCAAGAAAAAGTTGACAAACTGCTATCTCACATTGAAAGTGATAAAAAAACAAACTAGCTGCACCAAACTTCACACACTCATATGATTCAGCCCTCTAAATATAACTGATTATATGAATTTAAAACTATGAATTGTTCTCATGGAATATACAGAGCCACTTCAGGCAATGATGCAGCACGTCTGGTCTTCTTATGCCCCAGACAAAATGGATGTGAGCCGTAAGAGACCCACTTGTAAAATAACTAATCTGTCCAAAATATCCCAAAACAAAAGTTTATGGCTCACTTGTGGCCCAGATCTGGCAAACAGGAGCAGACGGCTCGAATGCCATTATTCCATATGGTATTTGAAAAATCAGGGCCAAGTCTTGCTATGTGGGAAAGTTAAAGAATGTGAAAAAATGTTTGGAACATAACCTCCTTGTTTTTATCTTCTGTTTGTTTTGAGTGTACACCTCTCAGCCAGCTTGGTCAAAGTATTATGAATCAATAGAAACAGATCTGAATAGTTTTACATTTAAGAGCACACGCACTGAAATCTATGTCTTGTACATGTAAAATACTTTGCCTGAATGAGTCACTTGTATGAGGTGTACCTGCAGTCTGCTCTTCTGCTCCTTCATGTCCTCCAGCTCTCCTTTCTGCCGAGACTCCAACATCTGAACTTTACTCTCCAGGTGACTGAAAGACACATTAAAGAAGTCCTTCACTGTGGGAGGATGGAGCCCTCTAATAAAACCTCTGTATCCCATCAGTAGAAAAGTGGGAATGAAGTTGGTGCAACACGACAGAAGAAAACAGAGAAAAGTGACTGTGGTATTAACCTTTTCCACCAAAAGGTAGTTCAATCATAGTTTGTGTTCTCGTCTAGGCTCCGACTTAATCACTCCCCCGATATGATTACACAGATATGATGGGACTGACGAGGAAATACTCGTAACCCCCGTCGGAGCCTACAGGTGGATGTGTAAAATAGATGATTGTGGAGAATGAGGTATGTCACATAATGTATGTCACATGATTGGAGCAGCGCAGCTCGAGTTGGCTGCAGGGTTCGCTCCATAAATGCTACAATACCCAGAATACACCAGACTCCCAGGCCTCTCTCCTATAGGAGGTTTTACCTGAGCTTAGCATCTTTATAAATACTAGCTCCAGAGCCAGGGTCCTCCAGGGACAAAAAAATTATCATCTGGTTTGTCAAAAAAAGATAGATTAAATCTTGGTCCAGGCGACATGCTGGAAAATAAATCTTCATAGTCTATCGATATCAATGAATGAAAAATTAAAAGGAGAAATCCTTTCTAACCATGTAAAACATGCAAACATGCAGCACAGACACTCTGTCCTGTATCACTGAGATAAAAGCAAACTAGGAGATCTGCAGGTTTTAGGAACAACAAAAAGTAAATTACTGTCATAGAAACATAACTCCTATAATTCTTCAGATTTGACACTTTAACATGAAGTTTGTGAGTATCTCCAGAGGGAGGAAGCAAATCCAAACTATTTGTGCAGCAAATCTGTTTGTAATGGACCTGAGGTTATAACTCCTGGTCGATGAGCCATAAAACAACTAAATGAAGTTTATAACCTCTGAAACTCGACATACAGACAGTGGGGGTCACCATGAACAAGTGAGGGGAGATATTTGTGTCACCTCTTCAGGATTTTGTTAATATTTAATATGAGCAACTTATGAGTGTCATAATGAAAAAGTAGCAAACTTTGCCTTAAGTTGGTTAAGTTGGTTTCCAGATAAGTGGATTTGAAAGGTCTGTCATTCAGCAGCTTCACAGGGAAACACCGGACCGTGAAGACTGTCGGAATGTCCAGATTTCTGTGTTTAAAATGAAATGGCCACGATACGATATCTTTAACTTTAATATAATTTCCCATCCTGAACTGCAATTATTTACTTCACTCATTTAAAATCAATCAAACGTTTCCAGTCTGTGTTTAACGAACAGAAAAGTGAGCCTATATTTGTTAGGTTTAGTTACATTGCTCTCCAACACTCCTCAGTACATTTATCACTGTATCAACCCCCTGAGACAAACTGCTCATGAAACCTTTCCAACCACAAGGTCTATTTCTGCTGAAGTGTAATTGACAAGTGTTGGACACGACCTTCCGTTGTTCTAGCGTGTCCACATGTGTCATGTCGTGGTTTTCACATCTACCAGTGATATATTTTTACATTAGCGGTGAGACCGTGGTCATATTAAGAGCTGAAACACGTCATCAGCTCCTGCCTCCAAACACTTCATCATGCTGACCCACACATGAACGAGTGAACACTTTTTACTGGGATGTGGACTGATGGGGAGTCACTGATCGTTGTGGTGCTGCGGTCTGTACAGTGTGTGTGTGTGTGTGCGTGTGAGTGCGAGTGTGGAACACAAGCGAAACTGATTAGAACAACACCGGTAACCATGGTACCGATATGCCAGTACTGAAAATAACTGTGATATTTTCCAAATAAAATAATGATAATAATACACAAGTAAAAGGACACAACACAATGCGTTCACACACTTAATTAACACAATTATTATTTTTTATAGATATCACAATAACATATTTACCATGAATGTATCATGAATTATTTTGCTACAAAGGCCTGTGAGGATTTGTCCTTACAATGTCAACTCTGACCTGAGGGGTGTGTCGAGCTCAGTGGTTGTTTCTCATCACTTTTCTCAGTTTAAAAAGAAAATGTTATTTACCGATGGATCATTCCAAGAGCTTATCTCATTCACAGCAGCCATCGTGCTCAGGTTTGATTAGATCTTTTGAACAAAACGCATTCGAAAAGTAATGAAAAATGTAAATTCTCTCAACTTCAGCAACTTGTATCTTCATTTATTGTTATTATATAATTTGAACATGACAGTATTGTTGTATTTGGCAGTGCTTCCTTTTTAGGGTAATATTGTCAGTTTGTCTGTCCACTAATTATGGATATTTATTATATTCAAAAAAATGTATGTTATGTATAAATATGTTATATATACATTTATATGACAAATAAACCATATTCATATATTTATGTATCTTCTTCTTCTTCTTCTTCTTCTTCTTCTTCTTCTTCTATCAGGTTTTATAGCAGCTGGCACCAAAGTGTTGTTTTAACTTAAATCAAAGGCATCCAAACTAATACCTGCCTTTGAAGAGAAGGCTCAAGGAGCATCCTGTACAATGTGAAACTTAAACCCACCAATGTTGCAGACGAATTTAGACAAGAATTCATTGATAGTATTCAACAATAGTGACCAGGATTAAAAAGCAAAAACATGTACCAGTCCATAAAGTGGAAAGTTGACCAATAGATGCTAATGGATGAAAATATCAATTCTCTGCCAGACATGGTTGAATTTCTCTCTGCTGAGCTGAAAAAAGAGTCCATCCAATGTCTCCAACTGAAAGACAGGTTGCAAAAACAAGCAGATGCCCATCTGCAACAATTTATGATATGGAAACAGTCACTTCAAGAGGCTAATAGTTGCCACTTGGAGGACAAGGAAGGCAGTACAGCAACCAACCTTGAGCCTAAAGCTGAGGAAGACCTCTGGAGAGAAATGACCAAGCTCTCTATTAGAATGGAAACAGTGGCAGAATACATCAGGTCTCTGGCAGAAAAGAAACAGGATAATTCAGCTAAATTGCAGACGCAGCCAACCCAGACACCGGAGCTGAAACATCAGCAGCAGAAAGAAAACATCGCTCATCAGGAGGATCTTCAGGCAGTGAAATGTTCCAATATTGACAGAAACGCTCAGCAACTGCTGGAACTGGAGAGCTTGAAAGCAACCAACCTAGAGTTTGTCACAGAACTTAAAGCTGAGAAAGAGCTCAGTCAGAATCTTAAGAGCAAAATGATCAAGCTCTCCACCATGCTTGAGGCAGAGACAGAAAAGAACAAGTCTCTGACAAAAGAGAAAGAGAATCTTTCTGCTGAGCTGCAGATGGAGTGGGCCCAGACAAAGGAGCTGAAATTTCAGCTGCAGAAACAAAACAACGCTCTTCAGGAGGAGCTTCAGGCAGTGAAACAGTCCAACAAAGAGAGAAATGCTCTGAAACTGCAGGAACTGGAGAGCTTGAAATTTACCACCCTTGAGCTTGTCAACAAACTTAAAATGAAGGATAAGATCAATCAGGACCTCCAGAGACAATCTGTCAAACTCTATATAAGCCTGGAGGCAGAGACTGAAAAGAACAAATCTCTGACAAAAGAGAGGGAGGATCTTTCTGCCAAGCTGCAGATGTAGTGGGCCCAGACAAAGGAGCTGAAACATCAGTTACAGAAACAAAACAACGCTCATCAGGAGGAGCTTCAGGCAGTGAAACAGTCCAACATTGAGAGAAATGCTCTGCAACTGCAGGAACTGGAAAGCTTGAAAGCAACTAACCTTGAGCTTTTGGAAGAGCTCAGTCAAAATGTGCAGAGCAACATTACCAAGCTAGAGGTAGAAACAGAAAATACCAAGTTTCTGTCACAAAATGAAGAAGATCTTACCCCCAAGCTGGAAGGAGAGCAGACCAGACACTGCAGTCTAGTCTTCAGAGAGAAAAAGATGCCCATCAGAAGGAACTTAAGGTACCGAAGTGCAGACCCATGACCAATTAACCACAAGACTCTCGCCGAGCTCTGTCATTCAGAGTCTACTCTGGCCCTCCAGACCCAGACTCTGCTGAGATTAAAGCGCTATTTCCTTTGATTTTTTACCTGTTCTTGTCTCGCAGCTGACTGATTTCGGACATCTGGAGTAACAGCTCCTTCTCTAGCTTGTTGGTGGACAGAGAGTTCTCCAGAAGCTGGATCTCAATCCGAGACGTGTGGTTCAGCACCTGGTGGATGAATTTAAATTTGCAATATACATGAATCCTATATTACATTAAGTTTTGATTTCTGACTTCTACTCATTACTGTTAAAGCATTAAATGGTCTCTCTCTCTCACACGATGGATGCATGAAGATACCTTGGCTTCCACCACATTGAGTTTGCGTGTCTGCTCTGCTGTGCGTGTGAGGAGGTTTGTTCCGATCTCCAGCATCGTAGCCGTCTGGTTGTGCACGACGTGTGACGGTATGTTGGTGATGTCTCGTCTCTGTACGAAGTTCTCCAGCTGCGGGATGAAAAGATACAAACAGAAGAAATTATGAGTTAGAAAGTGTCTCAGTAAAAACACCGGCTTGGTGCATGAAGTTCCTCAAATCAAACGCACAATGGAACATGTCAGGAGGTCTGGGGTAAAAAGATGCAGGTCTCCATGTGTATGGGAATATCAACTGATGCCAAGTCACACTGCCATGCTGTGACCTTTGACCTCTGACAAATAAATAATCCATCTGTCCTGCAATTCCTCCCTCAAACATCCCCAGGATATCAGTGCCACTGAGAAGCAGGGAGTTGATAAATATACCACTGCACCAACAAACAGATCGGTCCCTGGGGAGACCCCGTTACCAGTGTGGTTGTTTGATGAGATCCAACTGTGTGTGTGTGTGTGTGTGTGTGTGTGTGTGTGTTGATTTTCTCAAGATCGTGATGGTGTTGGCAGCTGATCGTGAATAATGATCACAACAAGACTGCTTAATATACAAATCTTCTCACATGTTCTACTGACAATCACGTCTCAGTTCATTTGTCGTTGCTGCTCCCTTCATCTCTATCAGACTTTTTCTTATGTATAAATACTTTAAACATTAACACAATTTTCCATTAAGTTGAACATTGAATAAATGTTGTAAATTCTGTTATTTTGTCGATGTGTTCAGTTACACACAGCATCTGGGAGAGGATCCACACATGTGACTCTTATTTGCCTTGTTAATAAAGTTTTATTGGTAGTTTTACTCTTGCTGAGGGTGAAGAACAGAGGATGTTGCACCTTGTTAAGATCTATGAGACAAACTTTGGTTTGTGAATGTTGGCTAAACAAGTAAAAATTGATTGATTGATTAAGTGGATCTCATCACATTTCCATGGCTTCTCCATGACCTTAACAGTTAGGTCGTGAGAGCTTTTAATTTGAAAAGATGTGAACTTGAATCTGAAGATTGTGTTGATTGGACCTCTCAAACAGTCGACAATTAAAATGTGAAAAAACAACATCAGTTATTAAGTAAGTCTTTCAAACTATTCATAAACCTCACATGTGAACAGTAATAACGATAATTCTGTTTCATTTGAGGAGAAACATTCATGATAAAAACTTCAGTGCAGATAAACCAGGTTGGATGAACACAAAGTTTTCTAACTTCACTCTGCACCGTTTATATAAAAAGCTCTGCACACAAATATCAACCAGACACAATCTGTGGTGCAGCAGTTCATGAGAAACAGGGTCAGTGTTAAAGGACACTTTCATACGTTCATGGATCCAGACCGATGATTTGTCACTTGTTTTGTGACTCTGAGCCAAACTTTGCTGAAATTAATTGAAAAACACACAAACAGACCTTGAGTGAAGATAATGAAATGAAAATCCCCGAAGATCAACAGTGACTCCGTCCATTTGGCTTAAATATGTTTTTCATTTTCCTTAAAATAACTGCTGACTAATCCTGCAGCATTAAACATTCACGGTTTTATTCCTTTCACCGACTGATGTTATCCTCGCTGATTGACTCTATCTCAATCATCGGTCTCCATGCACACTGACGGCGCTATTACTCATTTTCACTGCCCAATTACAGTTACAGTGTTATTATGTTTAGTCTGCTTCAATTCACATTCAGATAAAACAACCATCGCTCCGTTCAATCAAAAAGTGATTTTACGAGAGGAGAGATAGGAATCGCAGCGGCCGAGTGGCTCGTTGGAGAGGGTTTTTTGCGCGACGGAGTGAATTGTGCGAACCTGAACAAAAGACAGATGCTGTGACGCAGTGAGAAGTTAATCAAATAATCAAACGTGGAGAAAACAGCTGGAGCGAGCTGTGGTTTCTGCTTCCTGTGATGTTGCACAGATTGACTGTGATGGAAACCAAACGCTTCACCTGACTGACGGGGGGTGGGGGTGGGGGGTTCTGTACTGCTCTGAGTATACAGTGAGAGCACATACGTGTCGTCTGTGCGAGAGCAGAAGAAAAAACAACAACAAACGATTTGATGAAAAAACAAGAAAATCAAAGTTTTGCAGGGTTTTTTTTGCTTCTTATTTTAGTCTCCTGAGACACAATGTGCTGACTTTTTAATTGACCCTTCCTTCCTGCTGTAGGATGAAAGATACAACACACACACACTCACTCACACACACACACACACACACACACACACACACACACACACACACACACTCACTCACACACACACACACATTCTCACAAACTAACAC